ACAGCATTTCTTCTATTTCAAAGTGTTATGTAAAATAAATAACTGATATTACAGTCTGCTTACCTTTGTTTTTGAGAAATTATTCTCAATTATATTATCTCCAACAAACTTACCAGTTTTCTTGCCAATTTAATTAGCTTTCTTCAATAGAGAACTACACTTTACAACAACCCTTTTACTTTCCATCACTTAATACTTGCATTTCTAGACATTTGGTTTTAAAATTTTGCAGGCAAGTTAGTTAATTTTAATTACCTAGTTTGATCTTTAAATTTCTAATTAACTCTTCATTTTAAACTTAAAATTTTAAGTATTATATAATTTTTGATCTTCTTAAGATTCTTAATTACTTTTTAATGTATACTTTAGAAAGTAATTCAAAACTATACTGTGTGAAAATAATTCAAAACTATACTAGTGTATACTTTAGAAATGTATACTTAGTTTTCACCTTTGTATTTGAGTATGAAAATGAGTGTCGGGATACATCTTCTAAAGTGCGCATCGTGCTTAGTTGTGTTCTTAGAGAGCAACTTTAATTTTAAAGATTATTTGCTATTTATTTTGTTTAACAGAATTCTTTTGGCTTAAATGAACTAATGTCTTTATTTTGACTGAGTATTATTTTGTGGCTTATGATTTGGATATAGCAAAAAATGTGATGCTTAGTTGGAAGTAAGACAAAACACTCTCTCTTAGTTCAGTTGTTGTTAACTGATGGTAGATTGATTTATTTCCTTTGATAAGTCAATTAATCTGCGATCAAAGACAATAGTTACTTTTTCTATACTTAAAATTTTTACTTTTGAATTTCGTATTTCTGCAGTTAAAGATTTTTCTTTGCAGATTTTTATGTTTTAAAAGCAAAGGAGGTCTAGAAAATACTAATTAAAATACTGACAATCCCTCCAAGTCATGGTTTTAAACTGAATTTCCATTCCTTGGAGATGGTATGTGGAATGTTTTCTTATTATAAATTATTATGAATTATTGGTTTATATATATATACTATTGTATCTATATGTTTATATATCTACAGTTATTTAAATTCCTTTCATTGCATTGTTGTATTATTTATTAATTTGTTTCATGTTTGTGGTCACATTTATTTATTTTATATGTGAATGGCAATATTCAAGTGAAATGCGAGATACACTTTTCAAGTGACAGATCTTTCTGAATTTACTGGAAGCTCGTGTCTGATACAAATACAACTAAACCTTGGAACTGTTATTGTTGCTATTTTATTTGTTATTCAATAATGAGATTTAGCTGCATTGTGAACATACTCAGCAAGTGATTTTGGCAATTGTTGATATTTCTTGTGCCCTAAAGAGAAAACACAAATAAGTGAATTATGTTTTTGAAGTTTTCTTTTCAGTTCTACCAGTTTTTCTTTAATCTTACTATAATTATATGATTTAATTATTTTAATTTTTTTGAGTATTATACATCAAAAAGCTTTTTTTACTTTTGTGCTTTATTGTCAGAGTGCAAATGGCATGTGGGGGAAGCTCGGCGGTAATTGTGAGATTATCTGGAATATTTTTTAAAAAAGAAAATTTATTTAAAACAGTTTAAAGTCTTTCTTGTTGCTAGGTAAAAAAAAAAAAAACACATGTTGTTCGGCACTCATTAATTAACTCTTTTTTGTTTCAAATACTTACCCTTGACAAGTTCTGTTCGAAACATTAAATAGGGGTGATTAATATACTGTTTTTATTTTTTTTTAAACATTTTTCATTTTAGACTTAATTTTTGTCATTGCTTCTACTATGTCTATTTTAATTATAACGATTACACCACTGTTATAAAAAGTTTTAACTTCCCATACAAAAAGCTTAACTTGACAATTTGAAACACTCTAAAAAATTTTTAACTTTTATTCTTTTATTATTAAGACATTCATTCAATCCTTTTTAACCTTCCCCACACATTTTTCCTCAGATAAGATAATCAGGATTTTCATTCCTTTTGAACTCAATATATATTGGGTTGGAGGGAATGTTCTGCCGTATTTTAAAGAAAATATTTGAATTCATTTATAAAAATATGTGTTTAATATTAATCAATTATATATGCTCCGTTATTTGTTACAACCTGTTGCCATCTTCCAGGTAACCTGTAAATTCCTGTTTTGTAGAAGTTCTCATCCATGGAGTTAAAATAGTCAGCAACTGCCTTAGAAACACTTTCAAAAGACTTGAATTTTTTTCCCGTTAGATAATTTTGCAGAGATCTGAACAGGTAATAATCAGAGGGTGCAATGTCCGGTGAATACAGGGGGTGACTAAGGATTTCCCATCCTAACGCATTCAGTTTTTGTAGTGTCACCACTGCAGCATTATCGTGATGGAACACTATTCCTTTTCTGGATGCTAATGCTGGCCTTTTTTCTTTGATAGCTGCATTCAATTTATCCAGCTAATTGCAGTACAGATCCGCGTTGATGTTTTTTCCCTGTTTCAGCAACTCGTAATACACTGGACCTTTCCTGTCCCACCACAAACAAAGCAGTACTTTTCGTTGATGGATACTTGGTTTTGGAACTGTTGCTGATGATGTTCCTGGTTTGCAGTAAGATTTTTTTCTTTTAATATTCTCATAAAGAATCCACTTTTCATCTCCAGTAACCAGCCTGTCTAAAAACAGCTCCACATTGTGTCTAATCAGATGTGATGAACATATTCTTACACGATCAGACAAATTCTTTTCCGTTAATTCATGTGGAACCCAAACACTTTGCTTTAACACAAACCCAAGAGATTTAATGTGATCTCCAACAGTTGTATGATGAATGCCAAACTCTTCTGCAATTTCTCGACTTGTTAAATGTGGATTATTTTCCAACATGGATCGCAAAACATCATTATCGATCTTGGATGGTCGTCCAGATCGAACACTTTCTTTGAGGCTCAGGTCCCCGGAACGAAATTTGCTAAACCATCTTTGACAAGTACGAACATTTACAATATCTTTTCCAAATACCGCACATAAATTTTTACATGCAACAGATGCGTTGCTTCCTTTTTGGAATTCATATAAAATGCAGTGTCGTAAATGCACTTTATCTACTGACATGTTTTTCCCTTTAAATATTACAAGTAAATGATGAACAGTAAAAAAGGCACCTTTTATATTATACAGCAGCTAAAAAAAAAAAAAAAAAAAAAAAAAAAAAAAAAAAAAAAAAAAATCCGATTGACTCACTAGCCAGATGTTTTTTTTATTTACAAGAAAAATCACCTGCCTATTTAAAATACCACAGAACTTTCCCTCCAACCCCATATATATATAATATATATATATATATATATATATATACACTGTCATGAAATAAGTTTCACATTCTGCCTAATTCTTTAAAATATTTTGTTCTCTTATTTTAAGATAAAACAAGATAAAACTAATAATGCCCATAGATTGTCATTACTTAATTAGTACTGTGCCATAATCTTTCTTTCAGGATGGTAGCACTTTCTTTGAAAAGCAGTTATACTGGGTAAGCTAAGCTAAATTCTGCACTGAATTAAAAAAAAAAAAAAAAAAAAAAAAAAAAAAAAAAAAAAAAAAAAAAAAAAAAAAAACAAAAAAAAAAAAATGAATAATTCAGAATTAATTTAACTTCCACTGACTCTGTAAATATTTACTTTGGCACTGAAAAGTATAGCATGGAACATGAAGTTTTTAAAGCAAATTAGATGAAAATATGAAAGAAAATACATTTTGGGGTTAGAAGAAATTAAAGAAATATGACAAAACTATTACAAAAGCAATGATACCACTCAGAAATTTTTAACTGTCATTACTATTAAATGCATTTCATGAAGTTATATTTTACTATGTAGTTCAAACAAAATTTTGCCTGACCACTAAAAATAATGTACATAGTATATAATCAAACTCCAGAAACATGAGAAAAGAATAAGTAGGATCTGTTTAAGTTTGTTTTCATATAGTGAAAGAAAAGAAAGTAAGACGGAAATAAATCCGATAAACTAATTTTCCAACAGATTAAAGAAAACAATATACAAAACTAAAACTAAAAATTCAAAGTTCAAGAAAACCTAACATTTATAATTTGGTTCAAACTCTTTAAAACTCTCTTTAGCTGCAGTGCATATTATTTATTAAAACAGTTTTAAAAAATATAAACATATTTCAATGTTGCTGTTATTATTTTTAATTGCAAATAATTAACTGTTTAGTGCTCATGAGCAAGAGTAATTCTCATTACAGGTACTGAATAGGTGCTATAATGCAAATAAACAAACTCAGTATGCCTGATTAATTTATGCTTAATGGGACACAAATGAGTGTTACTGCAAAGCAGATTTTTATCCCAATATCCTCAGCCAAGTTGATAATTTTTTGTAAATAACCCATATTTTTCAATTAATATCTGAAAATAACCTTCAGAAAACTACTGACTTTAGTGAATGTAGCTGGCATTACAGGTACACAATAAAACATTTTTTGCATCTTAGTTTTTCTAATTCAGTATTTATATATTTCATTGCTGAAATGGTATATAAAAGTTTGACATGTTTTTCAAATAAATTTTGGGCCAGATTTAGTGAAATATAAAGAATGTCAAATTATTATGAAAGAAATTTTAAAACTGATAAAATTTTGATATGCTTGTAAATTCAGAAGAGAAGAAAAAAGCAAGAAAGACAACTTCAAACAGCAGTTTACTGCACTATAAAACTGCTTGATTTAAATGTATTGCAGCTTTGAGTTTAGCCAATTTTATAAATATTAAAGATATAAAGAGAAATGCATTCTGTTAAAAAATGTACAATGTATTGTTTTAAAAAATCACCTAATAATTTTCTGTAGTATTGTCAAAAAGACTGTTATTTATCAAAAGCAGCTACAATTTCTAGTTACTGCTGCTACGTGATACTAAGCAATAACTAAAAGTTCTTACCCTCATCAAATAATTAAAAAAAGTCTTATACTAAAACATAACTCTGAAGACAAAAAAAGTAAATTACCTCAAGAAACTCAGGATCCATCTTTGGCAGAGACTACAAAATATTCAAAAATAAATAAATAAATAAATAAATAGTAATAATAAATATTAGAAATATGTACTTTCATCAAGTCACACACTGCTTACATTGCATTACCAATTTTATCACATATGAATAATGAACACATATAACTTTTAAGGCAAAATCAAATACATTAATAATTCAGTTTCTCTGGTTAATCTTAATTGCCTGAGCAATGAATTTGATTTATTGAGTTTTAATTACATAGTCAAGAATGAATGCATGTTACTACGTTGGAATAATTTCATTAGCAATGCTGACTTAAGCTTTATTTAATGGATCTTTCACAAATCACTTATCAACTAGAAGTTAAAGAAAAAAAAATGTCAAATCATTTTCTACTAGAACTTTAATGCATGTGCACAAATTAATAAAAAAAGTATACTTGCACAATGTAATAAACAGATGTAAAAATACATACATGTACAAAGTAATTAAAAAAATAGCTATAAACTTTTAATCTCCTTAAATATGGTTCTTTGACATATACTTTGAATTATAGATTTCTAGAGATAAAGTAGAGAATTATGAAAAAAGTTTCAGTGTTTGAATGGCTGGTTTCTTTACCTATAAAATCTAATTTCATACATGGCCACTGTATATCAAATATTCCAAATTATATTGTGCCATCATAATACTTTTTCAATAAAGAAAAATCAAGAAATTCTGTATCTTTATGTGAAAAATTCCTAGATATTTTCCAAAACTTTTAAAGGATGAACTACAAATTTAATGCTAAATACTGTTTCATAAAATAGAATTATTAATTTTAAAAAGAGCTCCCCCCTTTTCTTTTAAAATGCTGAATTTAATTCGCAACAGGCATACAAAAATTATCTCGGTCAATTTTTTGTCAAATATATCTGAAAACTTTTCATACAAAAAAAAAAAAAAAAAAAAAAAAAAAAAAAAAAAAAAAAAAAAAAACAGAACTTGTTTCAAATTCAAACAGAAAGCATATGTAGCTAACCAGAACTTTTGCTCTACAGGCAGTATAAAAAAGTGGAATTATGTATTTACAGAACTCTTGCAATTATTTTTATTGCAATTATTTTTATAAAGTTCTTTACCTTAATTTAAATAATTTTTATAACTTGAAACATAAATTTAAGATCAATATTTAAACACATAATATTTGCAGCTACATTTGTTGAAAATCCATTTGTGAATATATAAAGAGTTTTGTGTTCATAAAGTCAACAGACTTAAGCAATATTTTTTTCTAAGGCAGTACCTATGAAGAGAGTATACAAGGAAGTATGAAACTAGGAACTAAAGGACTTTAAAAAACTATGAAACTAGAAATTGAAATAAAATGCGTAATTTAGGAAATTTGTTGTGCAATGTCAAGAAAGATGGTCTATAATAATGCTTTAAAAATCATTTGTTAATCTACTTATTATTACTATTAGAGCACATGGCACTTTCATAGATCCCAAATGAGCAACTGGTACCCCCCCAATTTAATGTTGTATAAAGGCTTCTGACAATATTAAAATACTATAGTAAATACTGGAAGTATGGTCTACTTAGCTAGATACGAAGAAGTACATGCAAGCACATGTTAGAGGTTACAAATCACAATATTGCACATGGAATTTCTGGAATAACACCTGCTATATGATCCATTATACGATCTAGTAGGGATACCCAACTGGGTTAGTATTGATCTCCCTAAGGATTAATGAAGTTTTAAAGGGGAAGTGATGACTAAGAGGTCGACTGGGGGTATATAGCTGAATATGTAGAGACGACTGATCAGCACAACCCAAATCCCATTGATCATAAAAAATTCATTAATACAATTGATAATTAGTTGTTTATTGATATACACCTGTATCACATAGTAAGGAAGAAATCATATAAGATAAAGTATACTAAAATTATTTAATATATTTTAAAAGTCAATATTATTCTTTAAATAGAATTTTTATGCAATAAATGCAATATAAAAATATAAAATTCAGGAACAAAACAAAAAAAAATTACAAAGAATGCAAAACTAATGAATCACAGCAAAATCTATTCCTATTCTTTCATCCATGACGGTTGATGAAACTTGCCAAGACAAATTCTTGTTCAGATATGAACTGCAATATATCTAATCTTGATATATGATGTAAGAAGAATTGACTACATTGAAGGAGGATTTTTACGCACAAGTCTTCAAAACAGTAGGGTATGCTAAGTTTTGAAATTTAAAAATTATTATGAAAAGTAATTTGAAAGAAATACCCAAACTAAAAATTATTGAAGCAAACATCATTGATTTTTTGCTCTTCTTATGTAATAGAAGCAGGTTTATGACAAATATTAAATAAAAAAAAAAAAAAATTGCATCAATACATTAAACACATAACCACATTACTTAAAATTGAACTTTTGTGCAATAACAATCTGTGATTTGAGATTCATATTTTAAAAACTGATAATAGTAATAATTAGAAAAATAATAAAACATAAATATAAAAATTATTTTTCAAGACTTTAGTTTATAATCTTAGTCTAATTATTACTTTTTTAAAATTACTTTTGTTCAGTTTTTTGTATTATGATTATGTAGTATGCTATATATTATACAAAAGAAAATTTGTTTTAAAGGGGTTAACATGAGGAAAGGGTTGAGGCAAAATTTCAGTCATAAAAATTTTTAAAATGTCAGAAAATTTGGATGGTCACATTTTTTTCAAACTGATACAAAGGATAAGGCTCTTAAATATCACTCATTACATATTAATGATTAAAATTTAATATAATAATTTTATGACTTGTCTAATGGAATTAAAGGGCAGAAGAATTATTGCAAAAGTCTGAAGAATAATTTTACAGAAAGAATTAGTTATATTGAAATGCTAAAATTATTTCCCTCCTCCCCAAATATTAAATATTTTAGTTAATTTTATTTCATTGCATATGCCAAATATTTTAGCCATATTATATTTCTAATGTATGGAACATGACATCAGTTTGGTTATGTTCAAACATCAGCTATCAAAACTATGACGTATAATATTAGTAGCAAAAGATTTAGCAAAAATTTGACATATTAAGAATCGTTTGTACTTACATTGCATACAATGTAATCATGTTTCAGATACAGGCAATTTTTTGGGAGGTAAATTTAATATTTTGTGTTTTAATATTTTCCAGAAATTTGATTTTTACTTCCACAAGGTTGGCAGACATGAAATATATACATACACATGTAAGTACAGAAATTACACTAAAGTTTATTTTCACTTTTACAAAATAAGAATGACTCCACATAATAATTACTGAATACAAGGCTTCTAACAGGAAATGAAAAAAATGAAATTATCTGGCTGACAAAAAACAACGAATGACTATATACTAATATTCTACTAAAACATTATTAATACCTAAAATTTACACAAATTTACATAAGCAATTAATAATTCTTTATTTTAAAAACCTGAAGTATGTAACTCTTATAAAGTAAAACAGTACTTACACATTATTCCATTGACCATGAAACTGTTGCCAAGCAGCTATTTTAGCACCAGTTATGGATAAACCTTTTATCACAACACAGTCATAATATTTGTGTGTACTAATGGATACCATATGGTTTTTATTCGAAAACAGATAAACAATAGCAACACATCATTTGTGAGGGTATTCAGATTAATTTATAGCTGGTTGAGATAATTTGCATCTGTTAAATGGGGGGGGGGAATCAACAGCTGGATACAGCTGCTAGAACAATAATAGATTTGAGCAATTACCTGCAGGCAGTTTGTTGACACAATATTCTAAACAGGCTTTCAGTTAAAATCAAAGGGTCCAACAAAAATTAATGAAATAGAAACCAATGAAAGCCTCTTTACAAAGTGCAGAAACAAAGCAGGTTGGATGTTGATTGTTCATTAAATAAAGAGGTGTCAGTTTCTTCAAAATTCTGCAAGAATAACTGCACAATTTTGGTGGGATCTCTGCCAGCTTTCATGGTCATCAGGATAATACATAAATACAGTAAAATATTTATATAATTAAAACATCTCATAATATACAAACATAGAGTAAAAATTTATCAATTTTTTTAAAAAAATCCTACACCCATCCATGAAACTTCTGCCATTAAACGACGAGCAGCCCAGTAAAATAAAGAATAATGAAAATGAGACTTAAGACTAGTTAAAAAGAGTTGTTATTAAAAAACTTCAGATGTCCAAAACAATACGGCAGTTTTTGAGATCGTCACCATCCATCTCACCCTGACGAAATAAAGGGGAACAAGCTGAATCCTAGATTCTAATACAACATAAATGCCTTTGCAAATAATCATGTTCAGTTAATATTCAAAAACTAGGAACTCCAACAAATAGAGGCAGAGAATTGGAAATTTTACTCTTTTTATTAAGCAGGATGTTCCACCTCTTACCCACAGCTGCATCTCTGTATAAGGACATTCTATTATTCTTAATTTTATTGTTTACAATTCTTTCAGTGTTAAGCAGAGGAGAATCAGGCTGCATCATTAGAGAAACAGCTTTAGCTAATTACCAAAAATACCTCGGAATCCCTTGGAGACCGATTTTTTCTCTAGAATTCCTAAGTTCAAAAAGTCTTGCTCTACAAGTACGGATAAATAAATTTTCACTGAATTCACAAGCGGCAATATAGCAGCTTGATAATCAATGAGAAAACAAAAAAGGGATCAGGACTGTCTTTCAATTTATCCATTGCAAATGATAATGCCGCTACTTCTCCATCAAAATTGTCACACTATTTCCCATCAGGATAGCTAATACAGAAAGTACTTGAATATGCTCCATCACCAGCATTGCTTATAGTGCCTTCTGCATTTAGCAAAAATGAATAGTGGTAATCAAAACTGACATGCTTTAATTTAAGTAAATAAATGTAATTATATAAGTAGTACGAAAAAGGTAAAGAGATGGCAAAATGAGAAAGAATTGTTAAAAATATGAGGGTCTTAAAAACAAGACTGTATGAAAGTTATCAAAAGCATGGTAATACATTATAAAAAATTAATAAAATTTACATATTCACCTTTGTATGTTCATATGGTGGTGCTTCTTCAGGATGCCAACAGCAAATTATTTTTCCATCATCACTTAAAACTACCCAAGAATTCCTAGAGAGTTCAGAAAACTTACTTTATACAAAGGAAAAATTCAACCACATACATCAGATTTAAAAGTAAAAATACTATATTAATAATTTCAGAAAAGAACTGAAATGCATAAAAAAAAAATCTGAAAGCTTTCAGATTTTACATTACACCCAAAGGAACTTTTTCTTAACCTTTTGTGTATTACCTTTATTTATTAAATGTTTTTTGCACGTAAACCATAAAATTCAATTCAACAGCAATATCACAAAATAATTTTAAAATGAGCATAGCTCTAGAATTTCCAATACACAGTCTTGTGTGCTGGAGATAATAATGTTTCTTCCTGTACAGTTTTATCTCTGTCGCTTTGAAATCATTGAGTTTGTTATACAAAAATTCGTTGAAGAGTTACAAAATTGAAATCGATAATAAAACAAATTTCAAATTCCAGATTAGGGCTTCCAGATAGATGTCCATATTCGTTTGAAGGTTAAGTTATTAAAAATTTGATGGTTCTAGGTACCATTGTTTTATTACAATACCAGAAACATACATACACTTATGCAGATTCTTCATAATTTAATTTCTTTAAATATAACACAAGGCTCTAATATTTGGTGGGAACAATTTGAAAGTGAACCGTCATTTAAAGTTTTTAATAGCCCTTGTGAGCTAATGCCCTTTAAGCTAAAAATTTTCAAAGTTACTTGAGCTTCCCTTTACCTATCTTAAAACTAGAAAAATATTTAAATCATAAAAATTCTTATAAGAATTTGCTTTACATTTTAATTGGTTAATTTTCCATAAGTGGAGTAACAGCGAAACTTGGCGACAGTGTACATTTTAGTGAGTTTATGATGCATCCATTGTTAGTGAATTTGAATATATTTATTTGGTTAACAATTTTTTGATGCAAGTGAAGAGATATTTGGTATGTATTATTTTTGTCGTAATTTATTTTTGTATTTTTGTTATCTTTAGTTTCATGGTTGTGACTTGAATTTTTGGTAATTTATTTTAAATTTATGTTTTAGTTTGTAGTAATTTATGCTTGTGTTGCATTTAGTGTCATTTTCTTTTGGTGATGTTAGATTTTACACTGTCATTTCTTTTTGCAACTGGCAATTGCGAAATGAAACGGAGATGTGAAGTTTGAGATCTCAAACAAAAAGAGTTTCGCACCAACTTAACCTACTTATAGAAGATTAGCCTTTTAATTGAATAATATTATATTAGATATATTTGGCAATTTACAACAATATTTCATACGAATGTCTTAACAAGTACCATCTTAAAAATTATCATTACATGCTATAAACCAGGGGTTGCCAATGGCGTTGGTACGGACCACCAAAAGATAGATAAAGTTTTAAAGGGGTCAATTGTGTTTGAGCCAAATATGCAAGGGCAATAGGTTAGAATAATGAAAATTCCACCGATTACAAAAAAATTGTAATATCATACAGTTGCTAATTTATTCTTTACTGATATACAGCTATATCATGTAGTAAGGAAGAAATCATATAACATACATCAGGAAAAAAATACACAAAAAGTATTTAATTTATTTTTTAAATCAATCATACTTTTTTAAATATATAAATTTAAATGCTAAGTGCAATACAAAAGGTAAAATACAGGGCCACAAGAAAACAGGGCCTAAATAAATATTATGAACACAAAACTTCCTAAGAAGATATATCGTTATATACAAGTTCTTAACCCTTTCCTGCATGCTACCTTTTAAAGTCAGAGTTTTCATGGAGAAAAAAAAAAAAAAAAAAAAAAAAAAAAAAAAAAGGATAGGCAGAGGAGTACACAAGTTAAATTTTGTGAAGATAGCACTTATCATTTTAATACTTTGGGTGTGCCCAAAGTGGGCACACTGATTGAATAGAGCTTCGAAAATAGTGCTGAAATGAGCATTGTTGTCAATGAACTGATCCGATGAGCGATGCGGAGATACAAAGAATACAGACTATCAGTTGTCCTAGATTATCAGGTGAGCCTGGTATGTGTGCAGCACCGGTATGGGTTCAGCCGATTTGATTTTAGGCAAGGTTTTTCAAGGTAAAAATTTAAAACTAATATAGAATAAAGACATTAGAATACAGCCAAAAAAATAACATAGAAATTTCTTTTCAAACAATTCCTTTTATACAAAAAAAAAAAAAAAAAAAAAAAATCTGGAAGATTTCTTTGAAAAATGAGGTTTTTAAAAAACTAAACATGGCTAAAATATATGGACTGGTTTGTGTTGAGCTGCCATCTACTATAAATAAAGAAGGTTCAGAGTAACCTATAAATCCCTTTTTCATTCAATTTTTCTGTGCATACAGAAGGAGATTTTTAGGTTTGTCCAGACTAATCGCACTGTGCCACAAAGGGTTAATGTTCACTGCCAAGACACAGAAAATTTGAATGTGGCAGCATAATTCATTGAACTGCTGAACTTGATATATCTGATCTTGATGTTATGTGATATGAAAAGAGTTTACTGCACTGAAGAAGAATTTTCAAGCATAAGTCTTAATTAGAACACATGCATATGCTAAGTTTAAGAATTTAAAAATCATCCCCTACCAAAAAATAAAATAAATAAAAATAAAAATAAAAATAAAAATTTTAAAAAAAATAAAAGTTGTTACCGAACAACATTACAGACATTTCCCTGTGCTTACTTAGTACAGTAATGCTTCGGTCAAATTAATAATTTACTACAGAAACTGGAACAGAGGTTAAGTAGTTTTAAACAAGGTGATTTAAGAATTAAGCAGTTTTAGGCCAAAAAGTACAATAATTGCATCAATATGTTAAGCACAACCATAACATTAATTAAAATCAATTTTTTATCCAATTAGAATTTGTAAATTGTGTTTGTTTATAAATTGTGTGAATTTGTAAATTGTGTGTTTACATTTCTAAAATTAAAATCATAATATAAAAACAAAAATCTTATATTTTTTCAAAACTTTTGCTCATATTCTTAGTCCAGTCACTATCTTTAAATTATTTATGAGTAATTATTTGTATTACATTATGCTGTAATAGGAAAATATGTAGGGAATCAATGAAGAAAACTACTCTTTTAAAACAGATCAATAAAAGAAAAAGGTTGGGAATCCCTGTTACAAAACAATGATTTATGAAGACTAATTTCTTCAGTTAAACAATCAGGCTTACATATGCAGTCCAGCACTAACTTACAAACTAACATTCGCAGAAGGAGATACCACCAAGAAGTTATTTATTACTTTACCAGCTTAAAGACACCAACACTGCTACAATGAATTTATCTTACTCCTTATAGGACAATGCTACTATAGTTATATAACTATTAAATGCTACATAACCACTAAAAAAGTGAAGATTTAATCACCAATAGGTGGAATGTAGAACTGGCAATTCCCTGTATGCAGTAAGACCCCGCTTAACACGGGGGATATGTTCCATCGAAGTAGAGCGTAATGCGAAACAGCGCTAAGCGAGGCTATCTTAACATGTAAATAATGGGGTTAGAGGAAGACGGATAAAAAATGGTTAGGCATTAAATTTAATAATGTTTTTTTAATAAAAATAAAATCAAACATTTATTTCTTACAAAAATTAAAAACAATATAAACGCATATACTTTTAAAAACAAATAAAATTCTCAGTCAGATCATTCAGTCTATTCTGGGTTTCCAATTTTCTGCCTTTTTGTCAAGAAGGCATTATGATAGATTGGCTTAATGGCATATTGCGTTCAATTTCGTCGTCAATCCATATAGACAGTCATTTTCCCATTTCCTCTATAATGTTATTTCTAGAATGGGTAATTCTAGTTGCAGAGCTTGACGTAGTTGCAGTTGCCGGATACAGTATTTTTTCTTTATTCTTAAGAATTGTCCTTATTGTTGAAGTTGCCAAAATCAATGCAGCACTAATTTGAGATTGACGTTCACCAGAATCTAATCTCCTAATCACTTGCATTTGAGTTTCCAGTGAAATGCTTTTTCTGGTTGCTTTCTTTTTTTGTTTTTTATTATCACCCATGATAAAAACTAAAGATCATAATATTTGTCACTGTATTAATCATTATAGTATTATACAAATTTAAACTTACAATAATGTCAACAAATGTTTCAAATGATAAAAATGTGTCCACAAAGCAAGAAACACAACTACACTGTTTCGGATATGTTATTTGGAAACCTAGCGTTGCGCACAATTTCGGAGAATCCCCGGGTTGAAATAAAAGAGCGCTAAACCGAAACAGCGCTAAACGAAACAGCGCTAAGCGGGGTCTTACTGTGTTTAGGTTCAGAATATTGTGAGATTAAAAGGTAAATACACAATCTAAGAGCAAGGTACAAAACAAGAATCAGTTGGCAGCTTCCTGTATGTTTAGGTTCAGAATATCATGAGACTAAAAGGTAAATGCATAATCTAAGAGCAAGGTACAAAACAATAACAGAAGAATATCAAGAAATTTGTAAAGATATATACCTGTCTTTCATAGAAGAATACGGCTGATAAAGACATGCTGGTAAAAATACCTTTTGACTTTGTTTATCTACAAAATATGCAAAGCAATTAACATAAATTTATAGAATACAGCAATATTTATTTAGATAATGAAAAACAGTGACAAACGAGCTTAAAAACAAGATTTGTAAGTTTCTTCCACAATACAAAACACAAATCATCAAACAGTGGAAAAAACTAGGTTAAAGAATTATTTATTAGTCAAGTGGACTTTTTTTTTAAATTTATACAATGTTTTGCTGTATAATAGTTATGTATTTCTTGCTAGTCAAAATTCTCAGTATTACAGAAGTGGAAGAAAGCAACTTTAGAACTTATTTATATTACTATACCCACAGTTTATTTATTAATTTTTATTTATGATTATCTCAGAATTTTTCTACTTGCTTGTTTTATATTTTATTCATATATAATTTAATCAGCTTCATTTATATGTTCGTGATTAAATGTTTTGGTAATATGTACATATACTAGTGGGCAAAACATAAAGAACAAATTCATTTTTCAGCATATAACCATGAAATTTTTGAAAATGCCTTTTTGTGATCAGTATGATGGAAAGCGAGTTTGTACATGCAGTATAGCTGCAAATAACATCTTAACATGTGGCACAATAATAGGCAAGCTTGAGAAAGGGTGCAGTTTGATGTTTGTCGCTTTAGAGTTTGGAACTGCTAAAACTGTTGTTTCACAAGCCTGGAAAGCCTTTTAAGAGACAAGTTCAGCTGTAAGAAAGGCTAGTGACAGTCAGCTAAGGAAAACAACAATAACTGATGACTGATATATTATCTTGTAGGTGAAAAGAGATCAAAACCAGAGGCAGGTAGTTGGGCACAGCAACTGGATGACAAGTGTCCCAGTTTACTGTGACCAGACAACTTCATAAAGGTGGCCTATTTGCCTGCCATTTTGAACGCTGCATACTATTGATGGCAGCCTATCAAAGGCCCCATTTACAGTGATGTAGAGAATGCAGACTGAACACCTCATCAATGAAGTCATGCCCTCTTTACAGGTGCGAATCGTTTCAGTCTGACAAACAATTTTTGGCACCAGTTGATATGCACAGAAGTACAGACACACTTTTGTCCCATTAACATCACACTAGTGTGGTCCTGGCATGCTGTGGTCCAGGAGGCATTATGATGAACGCACTGACAAAGCTCCACATTTTTGACAGAGGTTCAGTTACCAGATATTATTACTGTGATGAAGTTATCTCACTTTCTGGAGAACACCAGTCAACTGAAATAGATGCTCTTTGAAGAATGGGAAATCTTATCCAAAGAACTGTTAGATAATCTGGTGTTGAATATCGACAGATGGTGTAATCTTTTTCAGATTTACTAAGTTAATAAACTTTTAATTTCAGAAAAAGTGTATTGTTAGGCTAGTGTATTCTCAAGCTTCAGTAAAGCTCTTTAAAATATGCAGACATATTTTAATGTAAAATATTCTTAATTCATGACATACTGCTACAATGATTTTCAATTTAAACCACTTTAGAATGCAAAGTATAAAATATATGCAATGTAATAATAAAACCTGGAAACAATGGTTCAAGTTTCATAATCTGCATTGGGTTTTATAAGTGCCCTGGGGGAAGACAGGTTTTGCCTATATTATCCAAAAATATAGCTTTAAGGTGCAAAATTATGTTAAATATATACATCTTATACCATTTACTCTAATGGAATACTTTTCCTAGCTCTAAATTTTAAAAAGCATCATAGGTACTGGTACTTTTCCGTTTCGCTGGCGCAAATCTCGCCAAGCAGACTTTATTGGCCACAACACACAGTATACACATAAAAAATGTTAGTTCTAAGAAATTTTTATTTTGAAGGCATACACGTTTTTATATTGTTTAAAATTTTGTAAAAAGAAAATAAATTTGTAAAAAGACATTAATTTAAGAATTTACTATGCTTTGATGGTACTACATCCTGATTCGCAGTTTCATATCACGTGACCCTAAGTGATTCGCCGGTTTTTGTCACATGACCCCCACATGATCTCATCTCACGTAACTACGTTACAAAAATCTAATTCTCTCAGTAATTATCTACAATAATTTCAAGTTAAATCTTAATTTGGAATACAAGTTTAAATGCAAGAATTATTTCAATTCGTACGAATAGCTTACTCAGAAATTATGCAAAACTGCAGTGCTTTACTTCTTTAGTACATTCTCATTAGAATTGATGAATTTAACCCTTGACTTTGCCTTTTCTATATTTTCGCCTTCGGTAGAGCGGTGTGATTGCATTCTAATTGACTTAATTACTGCGAATTGTTTTAGGGGATAAAATTTAACTATCTTGTAAAAATTATATGTAATTGTATGCCAGTATTGAAAGAAACAATCAATCTGATATGAAATGGCTGCGACTTGTTTAGAAACTGAGGCGTATACCAGTGAAGATATTCCGTTTGGCATCAGATGTACCATTACTGGCTACTTTATCGTTTGCGCCGGCAAAATGAAAATGTACCCAGAAGTTTCTAAACATATGTGTAAGAGACTTAAAATGCATTACATATTTTCCGTTGTGAGACACCCAATGCGCATTCCAAATTACTACGATTTCAAGAAGAGATTTTTTAAAAAAAATTAAATTTATTTCAGAGAAAATATAAATACTTTTCAACGAACATCTATACTGCAGATTACAATCAAATATTTCTAAACATTTTCTTCCAAACGTAATTTAGTTACCACCGGAAAGCTTAAAGAAAATAAACAGCTAATTCTGCTAATAGAAAATTAATAAACATCATATTATTTGTAACCAATGCGAAAAGGGAAAGATATATATGGGAAGCACTTTCGGAGAGAACCCGGTGAATGTAAACATTGCCAAATTTTGCGATAATAGTTAAAATCTGGTAACCCAGCGGATTCAACCTATTCGCTTGTGCAACCATTCATCTTGCGTCCATTTTGTTTCGTTATCACTGTGGTTCTTCGCATTTGCAGATTTCTATTATTCTTTTATTTATTACTTTTTTTTCTTAATTTTTTAACAACGAATAGATAGAAATATTTTCGTAGATCCCGGTTCTCGGTTCGGGATGAAAGGAAGAAAATAAAGCGGGAGGGGTGAATGCTAATTTGTAACACGGCTGTTCACGTTGTGTTCTTAATTATTAACAGCTGTACGCACGCAGAACCATGAGGTTCGAAACGCTCAAATAATTTGTTTTCGTACTCCGCAAAAATGTGCGTTTTAAATAATTAAGTAATGCTTTTACTTTTATTATTGTTTATTGTCACCTAAAATTATGATAATAAATCAATTTTTATGGCGTAAAATTGTAACAATATATTGTTAATGCTTTTCTTACAATAAATAACCTTTCAGAGGATGGCAGGTGTGACATAAATAGATTATTAAATTTTAATAATAAATAATATTTATTACTGATTATCTGTGACAGAATAGTTTGATGTATTCCCATGGTCATCAAAATTAGCAAACCACTGCTGGTGTAAGGAATATAGTTCAAATGACTCTTGAAAAGTAATGAAATGTGTAATGTTCAAGTTTTATTAACAATGCTACTGAAGAAAATTTGATTACTGTTGAAGGTTATTAGTATTGTGAAATAAATTATGAAAAGGATGGGTATTTGTTTCAATGTAAATTGCTTTAACCTGCATGCAAGTAACTTAAAAAAAAATACTGAAAACTGTTAATCAGAGTTCATACACATTTCTGCACACAGAAATTAAGGACCATTAATGAAAAAAAATTCAGGACCTATGAGTAAACGCGAACTGAATAAATTCAATTAAAAATATTAGCGATGCCTGCATTTCACATTTGTAATACCATCCTAAAAATAAAATAGATCCATAAGTAGTATGTATTATTACTAAACATGAATTAACATAATTATTAATAAGTTTGAAAATGAAATAAACTTTAAGTAATTGATCAAGTAGCATTAAATATTTTACACTTATAATAGTTGGTCATATTTGAAAGAAGTGACATTTACATTTTACTAACTTTATGTAACTTTTTTTTTATGACTCATAATGTCACATACTTGGTCAGGCTAGCGGTTTAGTAAGTAGCAGGTTGATTTTATGTCAAATGGCATAGGTTAAAGTATCATAAGAGATATCAAAGAGAAGTATAATAATTAGCAAAATTCATAACAAAAGTTAATAATTTAATAATTAATTTCTGTTTAAATTTAATACCAATTTATTTCCGTATATCACGTTTAACCTGTTAGTTTTACATCTACATGCTTATTATCTGTGAATTTTTACTACCATATGCTTAATATATTGTTTAGTCTGCTAACTAGAATTTACATGCACTAAAAATCACGTTTACAAAGTATCACGTTTACGGCTCGCCTCAAGCGTCGATGAAACGCGAGCTTGGCGAGTAAAAATGGAACGGCGCCAACGGGTTCTCTGCGGATGAAAACCCTATATAGGTAATCTAAACAAATATTTCCAAACCTTTAAATACTTTCCCAAGAGAAAAAGGATATTTAGACAATCGTGACCTCACAGAAAACATCTTTCACCTTTCCGCGCGTAAAAAATTGCAAACAGTGATAAACGGATAACTTGTTTTGCTTCTCATAAGTCTTTTTACCCTCTAAGCGAATATCAAGTTTGGATGTAGAAAAAAACAGGACTAAAGAGAAGGGCTAGCTCATAGAGTGTTTCCCCTGAAATATGCAGTGAGGAACGATGACGTAGCAATGATGCCACTGAGCGCGGAGATGCAATTGACAACATAGAAATTAGCGTTTTAAATTTGAAGAACCAGCATTTAAAATGAGCTGTGTGTGAAAGATAGCTATAATTTGGAAGAGACAATGTTACTGCAGTATACATTTTACACTGAACATAAAAGATTTAATAGTACTAACTCAATTTAAAAATAACAGATAAAATGCGCTACTCTTAGCATAAAGTTCCTTTTTTTATTTGCAGGGATTTTTTTTTTTCTTTAAATGCCTGTTTGTTTCTAATCTTATCATTTCTTTTATCTGCATGTTAACTAAGAGAACTGTACTACTGCTTCTAAGATAACTATAATAACAGCTATTTAAAATTAATCAAAAAACAACCTTAAATTGGCATAGTTTTAAACATGTATGGTTTATATATGGCAAAAATTTCTGCTAATCTAAGTTTGAGTTTCATCCTAATTGTAAATTTTACATTGGCATATTTTTCTCCCGATTCAATATAATAACATATATTTTTTTTAAAAATAATTTTGTAACTTAGGCTTACATCAATATTTCATTTAAATAAATACATGTAAGATTCTTATCTTAATTTAGACAAAACAACTTTACTCACAGTACCTAAAATAATTATTTAATTTTTCAAAAGTGTGGGTTAGGGGGCAGGTCTTCTTATGCCAATTACTTTAATATTATGCTTTATATATATTTTATCTAGAATGCTAAGCTAACACAAAATCGAATCAATAATAACAGAGGATACAATAAAAATAACTGTAACAATAACTTAACAGAATTAGTTCTCATTTGAAATACGCTTTACGCTATTAACTTCTAAAATGCCATCTAGAAATATTTCAAATCAAAACATATTATATATGCTTACTTGTACAGTCGCAATGCAACTACAAGTTGTTGAAACATTATTTATTGGCTGCCACATTCGAAGCAATCCATTTTTTTTGCCTTTTTGGTTGCTTTTATTTGAGAAAAAACATATGCATTTCTATTTAAGAAACGTATTCTAATAAAAGTTCTCACTCTGCAAAATAAACGAATTGCTTCTCTGTTAACTTCAGGATAATATTTCTCCAGTTTATTAATTAAAGAGCCAATTACATGCTTCCCTTTATAGTAAGTTGTACCATGAACTGCACAAAATATGTTTTTGAACTCATAAACTGTATTCATCCATGAATGAGAAGGTGTAGTCAAACCTCCTAAGGATAATAATTTAATCCATTCTGAATTAAATATTGGTTCATCAGCACTATTTTTAGATATTGTTCCAAATGATGGGTCTTTGTCTCGCACACGATAGGCAATATAACCTGCAACATATGTTAATGCTTCTTTTTCGGCTGTCGAAAATTGTCTGTCGGAATTCAATTCTAATTCCCATGCCATAGGAGAAGGTTCCTCTATGAAATCCAAATCCAAATCATCAATAGTATTTAATGGAAAAGCATCTTCCTCCTCAGTTTTCAAAGCCCTTTCAAGTATTTCGGATGTTAAATATGAATCAATATTTCTGCTTTCTTTAGTCATGCATACTTTTGAAGATAAATTTGGCAGCTTATTAGCGAGTATTAATTGCTTTAAGCGGCGTATAACTTCACAAGTGATGGATGGTCATTAAACCTACCAAGCCCTCGAATCTGACTAAAGAGACTTTCAAGTGCATCCTGAGTTAATCTAGATGTACGTATCCAAATGATCAGAAGGTTGTTGATGCGTGTTCCTTGATCTATTGCACCAAGATATTTTACTGTACATTTATTTACAAGTCGTATGCCACCTGGCATGTTTACAAGCGTTATGCCTCCTGGCATGTACATGATAGACATATTCTGCCACCTGGCATGTGAATTGATACATCATACTAGTTTTCTGCCACCTGACAGATACGATGCAATTACCTCAATTAGCGGTAATACGCCCGACATTTTGGCGTGTCCGCTTCCCTTACGTTCTGTAACGCAACTAACTTTTTGTGCGGTGCGCCCTCTGGGCACAAATCACCGCAATCACCGAGGAGGCCAAAACATCCCCCCCCCCCGATGAATTACATTCATCTTAATACAATCTTCAATATAGCAAACAAGTAAATGAAAAATATAGAAACTGAAAAACATACAAAAACCTTCAAAAAGTATAAAATTACATGTTACACTTACCAATCTTCTAGCAAAATATCTTATATCTTACTATATTGAAACGTTAACTATGAGGGTTAAACTAGAACAAACAAATAAAATTATTAGTACAATAAGAAATGAAAATATAATAAAACATATTCAATATAAACCAAACACTTAAGTTAATGTTCTTCAACTGGTAAAAGACACAGTTTGGTAATAGGACGTTTAATGTCCCCGTGCACAGTTTTTAGTCTAACCACTCGGACATTATTGTCTCTTCCAGGAAAACTTCTATTACTCGCCCGAGTTTCCAACGTAATGAAGGCATATTATCTTCTTTAATGAGAACCAAGTCATTTAGGCGAATGTTTCTGCTAGGCTGTCTCCATTTGCTACGCTGCTGTAGTTGGCCACAGGTACTCTTTAGACCACCGCTTCCAAAACCCTTGGAACATCTGCGTGTTAGTTGCCATCTTTGCAATGGAGACCACTCGTACTTCGGTTAAATCTTGTTCCGGAACAGCTGTTAAAGAGGTCCCTATAATAAAGTGTCCAGGAGTCAAAGCTGTCAAATCATTGGGATCACTGGAGAACGGTGTTATTGGCTTCGAATTTAAGCATGCTTCAATTTGTGCAATTAGAGTTAGAAACTCTTCATAAGTCAAAATTTGAGTTCCAACACATTTCTTTAGATGCAGCTTCATAGATCTAACAGCTGCCTCCCATATACCACCATGATGTGGAGCAGCTGGCGGGTTGAATATCCACCTTATGTTTTCATTTGCTAACCACCTTTCAAATTCTGAAATTGAGTCGACAGATGAAACTGCTTCCTTGAAGATTTTATTTGAACCTATAAAATTAGTTCCACAATCACTTCTTATTTCTTGAGGTTTTCCTCTTCTCGAAGCAAATCGTTTTAAAGCAGCTAGGAATGCTTCATTTGATAAGTCGCTAGCAATCTCTAAATGGATAGCCTTTGTAACTAAACAAACGAAAATACAGATATAACATTTAATTGGTCTTATACCTCTTCCCCTTTTCAGTTTCATAGAAAATGGGCCGGCATAATCAACGCCAACCTTTGAAAAGGTTCTACTTGGAATCACTCTACTTGCAGGTAGTTCTCCCATTAATTGAATAGATGTTACTGCTCGTACTCTGCAACATTTTATGCATTTCCAAATGCATTTTTTAATTTCATTCTTTGCACTTATTATCCAGTATTTCTGTCTTATTGCGGATAACATTAAATGCAAACCCTCCGTGTAAATGTTTTTCGTGATAATGCTGTATCATTAATTTTGTGAAGTGATTATTATTTGGCAATATAATGGGATGTTTACTTTCTCTGGTAATTTCTGCGTTTCTTAATCTACCTCCTACTCTTAAAATTTCGTTTTCATCTAGAAATGGATTAAGTGAAATGATTTTGCTTTTAGTTTTAATCGGTTGTTCTGTCTTTAAAGCCTTAATTTCTTCTGAAAATTCATTAAGTTGAACATTTCTTATAATAAATTCTGAAGCCTTCCGTAACTCATAGGCGGTAAGCACACCAGATTGCTTTTCACGAGCGGATTTACAGTTGTTCACGAAGCGCAGAACATAAGCCATTATTCCCAGTACTTTGGTTTAAATTTCCGTACAGTTCAAGATTTAGTAACGGTTCTGTAGATTCCACAAGTGTTTTCAAAGTAACACATTTTTACGTTCTTCACTAACGTTTTGCAAGTCAGCTTCGGTATTCATTTCGTTTATGTGATGTCGAATATCTACTTCTGAAAGCCAGGGTGGCCCAGAAAACCAATCACTATCATTAATTAGAGCTTCAGCATCCATCCCCTCGTAAGTTTATCAGCAGGGTTTGTCTTCCCACTGCAAAAGTACCAGTTGTTTAAAAATTGTTTTCTCCTTGATTTCTACCACACGATTTCTAACAAATTGTTTCCACTCGTTGGCAGATCCCTTGATCCAGTGAATGCAAATTTGGGAATCAGTCCAGTAAAATATATTTCCCTTATCCAACTGCGGAAATATCGATTGCAAATACGAACCTAATCTTGCAGAAATTAATGTCCCCAAAAGTTCAAGCCTAGGGAGTGTTACCCTTTTTAATGGAGCCAAACGGGATTTCGACATTATGAAACTTGTTTTACATTTATTTTTCTTCTTAAATCTAAAATATGCTACGGCACCATAACACTTGGGACTGGCATCAGAAAATATGTGAACTTCTATAAACTTCCAACACATATCACTGAAGTACTGTCTGGGAATTTCGAAAAACTTTATTTTTTTCAACTTCTTTTAACCATTCCTGAAATATGAATTCTGTATCAAGGGGAAACATCTTTCGTCCCATTGAATACCCTTTTCCCACATAGTTTGCATTAAGAGTTTAATTCGAAACAGTAAATGGGATTCATAATTCCCAAGGGAATAATAATTCCTAAATTCCTAAATGGATTCATAATCCTGTAGGATCAAACAGCATACCACATGCTGCTAAAATGATGCGTTTAGTTACTTTGAAGATTTTGTAACTTCTCAAACTGAGATACATCTATTTTCAAATTATCATTGACATTGTCCCAGATAAGACCTAAAACTTTCAACGGTACCAAACGGTACCAAACTCAGAGTTTCAGATGTTTCAGTCAGAGTCAATTCCATTAAGTTTCCATAGTTCATTCAGCTCAGGTGAGTTTGAAACCCATCTACGTAAATTCATACTGGCCTCCCTAAGAAAATGAAAATCATGTCT